ATCACAGCTGGAGCAAGTGGGGACGGCCGGGAGGCGGGGTGGGGGGGAGGGGGGGGACAGGGGGGGGGGGGGTTTGGATCAGACGAGCTGCCGTCAGAGGTGTAAGCTAATACTTCATGTGTAGTTAGCAGGATGATTTATTGACCTGCTCAGACCGACCAGGCTGAGCTTTGAAGTGGGCCACAGCTGTCCGTCTCCGTCTCCGTCTCCGTCTCTGTACGCTCCACATCTCCAGTGTGGATCATGAAAACGGAATAGAATTTCAAAAGGTAGCAGAGGAACGCTGCAGCGGGGTCAGCGGGGGACACGCGTCCTCCTCTGGCCCTGATGCTGAATGAGACAAAAAAACAAAACAAAAAAAAACAGTTTTAAAAACCGTCTCTCTACCTGTCCTCAGCAGACCATCGCGGGGGACAGCTCTCTGTCTCGATTGAGATGAAAAGATATGGGTGAGAGGTGGGGAGAGAGAGAGAGAGAGAGAGGAATTTAAGACGTGGAATGTGGGGGAGAATGTGGGGGGGGGGAGTATTTAGGTTGGAGGAGAATTCCAGTGGATTTCAACTGTAGCTCTTTTGTTAGACTTACACCAGTCCTGCCAATGTGAGGTCATGTGATTGAACAAAGCTGGAGGTGTTCGAGTGGCCGCCTCTGAGCATGCTCAGAATATCATTAGCAACGCAATGCAACATGAAGCAACTCTCAATTTTTATTTATTTTTGTGTAAAATTTATTTTTAACTGTTAAGTTGGATTTGATTTGGATTTTTTTTTAAATTTTTTGTATTTTATTTTAATGACATTTTATTATTATTTGTATACGTTCCATGCCCCCGCGCGGTGTCTCTTCAGCTCGGAGGACGTTTGCACTCCGTGACCTGAAATTCCCCTGTTATGTCCTATTGCTAGCTGCTGGGCTAAGATGATTTATGAACACTGAAGTGTCCTTCAAAAATACTTCATGGTCGTGGTCATGAAAACAAATAGAATTTACTGATCCTTCATTTCCAGAATCAAACAATAACAAAGTACTGCCTCCAACGTAAGCCTCGCAGGATATAGACCACAGCTGTTTACTATAAAATATAACAGGAAGTAATAACCTGAAGAGATCAATTTGAAAAAGAAAAAGAAAAAAAGTGCTCCTTTATTAGAAAATGTATGGCTGTGTTTTTCTTTTGGGTATTTCTTTGTTTCTGTACTCACAAAATGCGAAACTTGGAATATGATACGTGGAATTATTTTAGTTTGTCTCCGAAGAATCAAATATTGATTTAGAGAAATCTAGGCACAAAAAAAAGCTCAGTCAGCGACTCGGACAGATCTTTTTTTTTTTTTTTTAGTTTTAGCTGTTAGCTAAAAGCGTGTTAGCGTGTTAGCATGAAGCAGAACATTTTCACTGTATTGAATCATTCGCTTAAATGCCGAGCTGCAGCGACCATATGTAGAATTTGAACCGGAGACGTCAATCACCAGGGGTCTCCTCCCGTCCGTCCGTCCCCCCCCGTCTCCCCCTCTGATCGTCCTCCCGTGACGTGTGTGTGACCATGTGACGCCGTTTCTGCTTCACGCATGATAATTCACTGTGCAAAATGTTACATGCTGTGTCTCCCGGCTCTGCACTTCTGTGTCCCAACTTCACATGGGAGGCAGGGGGGGGAGGAGT